TGAGGTCGCGGCACGAATGGGAGTGGCGGCCTGAGGGGAGTCTCTAGGCCCGGCTCGCCGAGCTGTGCTCCTGCCGAGAAGAGCATGGAGCCGCGTACCGTGGTCCCCTCCTGACTAGTCGCGGAGGCGCGTGTCTTCCAGACTCCCCCAGTGCCAGGCGGTGCCATCCCGCTGGGCTGCAGCTGGTCCGGTGACACCGGAGGGAGGGGGGACAGCTGGAGCGGGTGCTCACCCAAGCCTCTCTGTGACCTGCTGCGTGGCGTGAGCTGGATGTATGTGATGTTTCTGTTACAGCAGCATGTTCAAAATCTCTTTCAGGATAGGGGCACTTTGTTATACTTACAAATGCACAGTGGGGATAGTGTGTCTGCCTTGAGAGGCTCACGGTGTTAGCTTCTGTGCATGTGTGAGCAGTAGAGATCCCTCTTCTGTATTAGCAGAAGCTAACACCGTGAGCCTCTCTGCATGTGTGAGCAGTAGAGATCCCTCTTCTGTATTAGCATTTGTAAAGTATACTTAAATTAAAACTTAAGAATCAACAAGAGACCTATAGCACCTTAAAGACTAACAGATGTGTTTGGGCAGAAGCTTTTGTGGGTTTAAAAACATGGGGGAAAAAACTTGTAGTCTTTAAGGTGCCACAGGACTCTTGATTGTTTTTGCAGATAGACTAACATGGCTATCCCTCTGATATTAAAACGCTACTCTTAAGTTATAATATAAAATCTATTAAACCAAATCTCTGAAGTACCTTTCATGTTAATGTACCTTAAAGTACAGAGTAAACTTAATTGCCTTTTATTTTTAAACCCACTAACATTGTTAGTATCTGCATATTTGCCGGCCCAGGACAATGAAATAACTCACATGCTCGTTTCTTATCCTATACTTATTTTAGATCAGTGGTCACCAACCAGTAGATCAGGATCTACCAGTAGATCTTGGAGCCTCTGACAGGTGATCCTGACAGGTTTGGCTGGGAGGCTATCAAGTGCCTGTGTTCCAGTTGCCCCTCCCTGCACTATCCTGCTGCTCTTGCTCAGAACTGCCCCTCGGAGCCTCCTGCTTGTTCAGAGTGGGGGAGACAGAGGCAGAGGGGCATTGATGTCACTCTGACCCCATCCCCTGTACCGCATCTTCACAGAGTAAGGAGGGTGGTGCTTTGGTGAAGGGGTGGAGTAGGTATTTGGGTTTGAGGTAGATCTTGGACTGACTTAAATTCAAAAAGTGATCTTGTGCTTAAAAAGGTTGGAGACCACTGTTTTACATTATCTGGCAGAGGGATTTTTAAACTAGCCTGTCAAAAACCAGTGATTGGTGGATCTTTCAAGGGTCTACAGAGTGGAAAAAAAATTTAAACAGTAGGGAGAGTAAAGAAGGTTAGCGGGTAGGTAGGTAGGTAGGATCAGTGTGAGTTGGTAGGATTGCTTTTATGAGGGTTATGATCTTCAGTTATTGTATTCTGAAGAGCTTTTTGTTTAATATTAGTGAATCCAAGCTACGAGGCTACATGAAGAATGTAATTAGCTGCCATCACGTGTAACTATCTAAAGATGACTGGCATTTGTTGTGTTGAGTTGAATTTTGATTTGTTTCTTGAATCACAACTATTTTACTATAGTGGAGCGGTTCTCAAACTTGGAGTCAGGACCCCATTATTGGGGTCTCCAGAATTATTTTAGACTAGTTAGAATGTGAGGCTGAAGCCTAAGACTGAGCCCCACCATATGGGGCCAAACCCCAAGGGTGTCAGCTGTGGGTGGTGAGGTTCAACTTACAGCTCCAGGACCCCTGCCTAGGACTGAGGACCTTGAGTTTTGGCTTGTCCCGCAGACTAGGCAGTGGGGCTTGTGCTTTGGCCCCATCCCTTCTGAGGGCAGTGGGGCTCGGGCAGGCTCAGGCTTTGGTGCCTGCTCCTAGAGTCATGTAATGTTTGTTGTCAGAAAGGGATCACGGTGCAGTGAAGTTTGAGGTTCCCTGCTATTTAACCCAGTAAGATTGCACACAAGGGATGTAAGCGACTAGTTGACTATCCGATAAACAAAAGCTTATTGGATAGTCAGCTAGTGCCTTGTCTAGTCACTTCCCCCTTACTTGCTGCCCCTGTCAGAGTGGGGATCAGGAGCTGGTGGCTGGGGAGCTTAAAAGCCGGTTCCCCCCCCAGCACCATCTCCTCAGAGGACTGGGGAGGCAGGGAAGTAGCGGAGATCAGGCATGAGCCAGCAGACACTGGGCCTGGTTCCCAGGTCCCCCACTGCCCCACTGCTCTTCAGCCTTTTAAATGTATTAAGAGCCACCAGGTCTTCAACTAGTTTATTAAACTAAATTTAACATCCCTGTTGCACATAGTAGAATCTTGGTCATGTAAGCAATGTTGTGTTGTACCAGTATTTACAGTTTTGTAGGCTTTTGTAATGTCTAAGTGCAGTGTCAGAAACAGGGCTTGCCGAACCGTGGCGCCAGCCATGCTGTCCGGCAATCTGCATGTGCAGATTGCCTGAACCCGGCTATTCCGGGTTCCAATCTGCTCACCCGTGGCGAGTAAATTATATAATTTGTCAAGCCCTGGTCAGAAAAATCTGATCTTTAAAACCTGACTTGCACATTAATTGAATAAGAAAATCAGTTATTTCCACTAATAAACTATATATGTACTGAGTGTGTTGTGGGGCGGGGAGGGTGGGGGTGTGTGTGTGTGTGTGTGTGTGTGTGTGTGTGTACGCGCGCGCAGCTAAATGGTACAAAAAATGGTTTAGAGAAACTTATTTGTATTTCCCTAAACTTGTGCAGTGGTTAAAGGAGGCATGACAAAGTGCTTGGTCAGATCCTCCATCTTGGAACAAGCCCTTTTAGGTATGTCTGCATTGGAATTGGACAACTGTGGCTGGCCAATGCTGGCTCACTTGGGCTCAGGAGGCTGTTTAATTTAGGTGTAGACATTTGGGCTGGAGTCTGAGCTCTGTTACCCTGCAAGGTGGTTAAACAGCCCCTTGGTGCTTAGCCCAAGCTCTGTGAGCCCAAGCAAGCTGCTGTGAGCTTTTAATTGCAGAGTATACCTAGCCTTTGTGTCTGTGCTGAGTTTGAAATAACTGTTAATTTTTTTATCTTCATTCCATTCCAGAACTAGGTAGACTCTCCATTCTCACTTTATTGTTAAATTAGGAAGTAATATGTCCATGGAAGTAATTGAACTATGAATAATGTGTTTGTGAAAAGCCATTGGAAAAGTTGGAGGCTTTTCTGTAATAACTTTAGTGCACACTCTCTCTCTTCCCCTTCTTCCCCACCCCCCACCCCGCCTGCACTCTAACCTACTGACCTTTGCTGATGGTGACTGTGCTGGTCAGTTAATGCCTTTTACTTTGCAATGAACCAAATCCTCTATATCAAATATCAGGGGGGCAGGGGCACATCAGGAAACCATAGCAGCTTCCTAATGTCTGCATGCCTTCCTTATTTGAAGTTGGATGGTAGTGGTCTCCAAGATAATATCTGCTGGTTGATCATACCTGGAGCACAGCATGCTCTGGCCACACCCTTTCTGCCTCTGATATGACTGACTACAGTGGAGTCCCATGCCAGAGCTAATGCTAGCTAAGAGCAGCATAATGAGAACCTGGTCTGGTATGTCTTCCCTTCAGCACAATTCTAATTTAAGCTGGATAAAGTTGTTTATATATGCATATGCAAGTCAGTGGTTCTGACTATAAACATGTCTTGCATTTCTTCTCAGTGGAGTTTCTCTTTTCACTTCTTGTTGGGAAATGCTTCCATTTCAATTTTTATTATTTTTATATAGAGAGAGATGTGAAAGTGTAACCATGTACACAGTAAGGCTGTAATAATGTAGTTGATTAACCAATAGGCAAAAGCTTATAGGTGAATGCTATAGACTACACGCATTTTCTCCCCCCCCCCCCCCCCCCACCCACCCCTCCCCCCCCCCCAGCCAGTGTCCCCTCCCTCCTTTCTGACTCATACCAGGTCTGGGACCTACCCTTGCTGTGGCTCTGTATTTAAAGCGTATTAGGAGCCTGGCACAGTTCCAGCTCAGGCCAGGTCTGGAAATTCAGAACATCTCTACCCCTGGACAGAGGTTGCTGCCATCCTGGGGTGACAGGCAGCTGGTCTGTGAGGGGAACTGATACAGACGCAGCAGTGTGGAGTGGCAGGGAGTTCCTTGGAAGTGGAGCATGCTGGCTGCTAGCCCCACCCCCAGGGACTATAGAATAGTCAAGTAACTGATAAGAATTCATGCAGTTACTCGACTTTTCTCTTAACCCACTATCTAACATCCCTAGACTTAACAAGCAATTGAATTAAAAATAACACGAGGCCTAATTTTCTGTTTGGTCGAGGTTGAGTAATAATGTATCAGTGCCAGGAATTTCCCAACACTGTGGTCTTTTCTTTTCCCTTCTTTCTCTTCTGAGTAAATAATTCAAAAATTCTGATCACATCAGTTACTAGACAACTGACAAAAACAGGTGGTGAAAGGTGTATATACACACTTATAAGATGTTGTAACGTTTTTCTGATATTTTACATGTTTTCATGGTGCTTATTAAATTTTCCTGACTGAGAATGCTGCCTACGCAGTCTGACTCTCCAGACTGCATCTTAGGATTGCATTTTAAAAGTTGAGACTATTTCTTTTCTGTGTGAGCATCTATACAGCCCTTCTGTTATTTCGAAATAAATTCAAAATAACAGACGGCTTATTCCAAAATCTGTAAACCTCATTCTATGAGGAATAACACCTATTCCAAAATAGCTATTTTGAAGTCAGACACTCCACTGCTGCTATTTCAAAATAGCCCCTCACCAGGCCCATTCTAAGTTATTCTTCCCCAGTGCCTCAGGGAAGCCTGCCTCAGACTAATTTTGAGGCTTCACTGCAGTGTAGACATGTTATTTCAAAATCAGCTATTTCAGAATAAGCATGCAGTGTAGATGTACCCTAAATGAACTTTTGTTTTTTGCAATGATTCTCTCCCCCCCCACTTTTTTTTAAATGTACAAGCATAAATTGATTTCAGATAATCATTTGAGTATCTAAAGGAACTAGGGCTAACAGAATTATTTCTGCTTTGCAGTTGTCCCCGGATCTTCTTTTCTGCCCCTATTAACATTTTCATCAATATACTTTCTTTTCCAGTCAGGTGGTTAGATAGCAGTATAACTAGAAGCCTTGGTAAAACTGAAGAAGATATATTTCAGTATTATACAGGTTGGACCTCCCTCATCCAGCACCCTCGGGACAACGAGAGAATTTGCTGAACCAGGGGAGATCAACTCCTAGTCCTGCTGCCAGCCACCTGTCCTTGCACTGCTGATAATTCATGTGTTTCTTCAAACAATGCTGCAGATCTGATCACTAAAACATCTTAATTTACACCTCAGTACAGCATTTTACTACATCTAAGAGTATATTTTTTGTCTTTTTTTTTTAAATAACAATCATTTTAGGAAATAGTACATAATACAGTACATTAGGAATGGTAAGAACTAAATCTCTCACACACAGAGTAGAATTTATATTTTATTAAACTAAATCTTAAATGTTTCACATTTGCAATGGCAGTCTCCTGAGTTGCTGTCTGATGACTGTCTGTAAATTTTTTCCCCAAATTTTATTAATTCCAACAGATAAGTCCTCAGAACACTGAATGTACGGTGTCCTTAAAACTTCATTTAGGTCTCATCTTTCCCACTCCCATTGTCATTTTGATGCAGATCTGATTCCAACTTGATCAAAAAAACTAAGACTGATTGTGCTTAGTGTGCACTTAATTTGGGAATAAGCCCCATTGAGAACAAGTATAGGATGGGCTTCCTTTGGGAAAGCTGAGTTATGCTGAAATAAAATAGGGAATTGACTTATGGCATCACTATTATGGTCTGTGACCACGATGTTCCAAAATAAGAAGCATGTATTATATAATATAAAATAAGAAAATGACACTCATTGGCAACTGGCAACCATAGATTTCTCTTTACTGCAGCTTTCTGTACTATATGCATGGGTTATTCGAAACCTAGTTTACTAATTATACAGGCCCCTGAACTCCCTTCCCTGCATGGGGGAGGCCACAGTGGGGCCAGCTTTTCCCACCTGCAATCTCTTCCCTGCATAGGCTGGTCACATATTGCCAGCAGTGTCCCCATAACAGTTAAGGAGGCATTGGGGGAAGAGGGGAATCCCTTGCAGTAGTGGGAGAAAAGGGAAACCCCCTTGCCTGTAAGGGGTGCCTTTAGGGAGGAAGGGGTGGCCACAGCTGGGCAAGCCCCAGAAACCCAGTGTGGGGAGCTGGGAAAAGTAATGAAGGAATGGCTTCTTTTTGGTGCTTCTCACTTTTGTGCAGCCCCCGAGTTAGTGGCGCCCAATCCAAAAAAGGTTCCTCACCCCTGACACAGACATGGAGAGAGTCTTGATGAATGAAGCATTGCATTGTTCTTCAGACATATCCACATCTTCAGCCATAATAGTTTCTCCCCACAAACAGTTTTCCTTATGATGTTTCATTCTTGCAGCTAGACCAGGCATGTCCAAAGTCCGGTCCGCGGGCCAATTGCGGCCCGTGTTCCGGTTTAATACGGCCTCACAGGTAATTTGGCAATATCTATCTTTTATGGCCCCCAACGAATCCATATGTATTGAGATGAATACATTGTAAAATCTCCGTTAATGTCAGTTGGTCTAAATCAGTTATAAATATATTTGGACACAACATGTATACTTGGTGTTATGTTCCTGTTCATATTTTTTGAACTTAAAAGTTGACAGACAACCTTTATTACCAATAATATGTAATGTACTTTACAATGTTCCTGACATATATTTCAGCTTCCTGGATTTTTTTTTTCATCTGGCCTTCAGATATGAAAGGCAGAGTGATTTAACACCTGTTTAGATTTGTCATCCATGTGACGAAATGAAAAGTATGCCGTTTGCAATAAACTTTGCATAAAATAGTTAATTTGCATTTAATTTTAATGGTTCAAAGAATGTCAGGCAAAATGGTCGGCCCTCACGCATGTTCACTTCATCAAATCTGGCCCTCTTTGAAAAAAGTTTGGACACCCCTGAGCTAGACCCTGCATCAGCTTCTTGCACTGCTTACACTTGACATGTTTTCCTTTTTTTTATTCGGGGAACAAATGTCCTCAGCATTTAAGTTGCCATATGCTTAAAGTGGCTTAATACATTTCCCTTGCTCTTCCAAAAAGTGAAGGTGTTCTAATTAAAGGCTTACAATGAGTATGACTTCCCACCATAATTGCAATGATGCTACAACATACAGAGCTTCCCATGGAGAATCATGCCAGGCTTTTTTGATGTGGGAGGCAGAGCGATGTTAAAATTCTTTGTCAGCAGATAGTTCAGTGGGTTTGTAGATAACTCATGTAGTTACTTGCTCATCCATGAGCAATTTCGGGGACTTGTAGTAAGTTTTAACACCTAGTTGTAGGCTGCAGAGGTTTCACATGTCTTTTAATGTAAAATGTTGACGTGTTTCTTACAGAAATAGACAATGGAACACATCAGGCTGGCTTGTCATTTGTGATCTTCAGGAAACTGTGCCCTGTAGCAAGCATGCCCTAGTAGATGCCAACTGTGTTAAAAGTGGGGGGTTGGGGGGAAATACATTTTGGTCACATTTTCGTAAACTCAGTCAAGCTCAATGTTCCATACATCTTTCATTTGCACTCAATTTTTTACAGGTATTTAAGAGGAGTGTTGGTAACTAGCTGTTGAATTTTCCTTTCCTCACTTTCCCATTAACTCAGGAGACTGGTTTTGAGTTCCCCTCTTTCTCTTTGCAGAATTACTTGGTGATGTGCTAAAAGACCAGCCACAGGAGGCAGATGGAATTGATTCAGTAATTGTAGTGGATAATGTTCCCCAAGTTGGACCAGACCGTCTTGAGAAACTGAAGAATGTTATTCACAAAATCTTTTCCAAGTTTGGGAAAATTACCAATGAATTTTACCCAGAAGAAGATGGGAAGACAAAAGGGTGGGTAATGAGAGCTCATGCTGGAAATGGGATTGAAACATTGTTCAGGTTAATCCTTTGCGTGCTAATAGATGTTTGTGAGCTAAAATTCTGATATGCAAGTAGCAGAATGAGAGGTACCTTGAGAGCGCATGCCAGTGATACAGACACACAATCCTTAGGCCGCTGAAGGGCTTTATTGTTTCCTAGACTCTAGCTGTACAGGGGAATAGTTATCGTGTTGAACAAATGTGTAACAAATACCTTGGGCTTGGAAGCAGGAAATTAGACTTTTTTTTTAGTAGTAGTACTGAGTTACTTTCTCCTCTGATTATCACTATCCCAGTTATCAGGTGAATGAAACTGTTAAGGTGGCTGGGGAGCAGCATATTTCTCTTTGGGGTTGGGATGGAGACTTTATGCAGCAGATCGGAGAATGTTCAAACCAAATAACTTTTATGAAATTGTTCAGTATATGTTCCTGGAGTTTTAGAGAGACACTAATTCCTGTGGGCCAGAAGGCTTTCAGCTCAGAGTAAATTTTACAAAACAAACCCAGGTCCCTTAAATAATTTTCTGCAGCACATTAGTAGGTCCTATGTCCACTGTACTATGAAATTTGGCTTAAAGTTACGGACTTGACTCCATTTGGAGGGAAGGAACTTGATTATAATTTGGCTTAAGTGAAGAGTAGTAGTTGGGTTTTGAGGGCCCAAAACACGTGAATGAGAAGTGTGGTGGTGTGTTTTTTTTTCTTTTGTGTTTTGTTCGCTTTTCAGATGTCCTGCCATTCTGTTGGGAAGAACTTCTTGCCCATTCACATAATAGCTCTTATTGCATTTCTGCTTTGTTTGAACATGTCTTGATAATCTATTCTGTCCAGTTTCAGGAGGGCAAAATAAAAACTTCCCAAATCATATATGTATGGTTAAGAAAAATACCTACTCAAGCTTGAAGTGGCATTGTGTACCAGCCTTTCAGTTCATTCAGCATTAGACACAGTGGGTAACTATAGGCAGGTTGCTATAAGGTAATGGCATTTATCTAATTTATCTTAGATATATTTTCCTGGAGTATATGTCCCCAGCACATGCAGTTGATGCCGTGAAAAATGCAGATGGCTACAAGTTGGACAAGCAGCACACTTTCAGAGTCAACCTTTTCACAGACTTTGACAAGTGAGTGCAGCTATCATGTTCTCTCTTCTTTATTCCTAAAGGCAATGTTATAGTCTATTTCTGATTAGGGATGTAAGCGGCTAAGAGGCAGCAAGGGGAGAGGGCAGGCTTAAAAGCGGGTTCTCCCTCTTCCCCTCCCTCCCCCCCAGCACTGTTTCAGCAGGGTGAAGGGGAGGCAGAAGCTTTAGGACTGCTGGGCCTCTGCCTTTGAAATGTACAAGAGCCATGGGCAGCTATTGTGCATTTCAAAGGGAGAGATGCAGCAGGATAGGGAGCGCCCCCCCCCTTTCTACTAATCAATGGAAATTGTATCAACTACTCGATTATTTGATTAGTAGAAATGTAACATTCCTATTTCTAATCACAGGCATCTGCAATATATGTAACTGATCAAATCATTCTTTTAGATATATGACAATCAGTGAAGAATGGGACATCCCAGAGAAACAACCATTTAAAGACTTGGTAAGTTTTTTGTTTTTGTTTTTTAAAGAAAGATGAAAGGGGTCTGTTTTTCAAAGCTTTGAATTAAAATATCCAACTGATTATTCTGAAACTACTTATTACTGTGACATTCATACAAAATTACAGAACAAAACTATATTGCTTTTATAGTGACAACTGCTACTGTTTAAGAATTGTAATCTTCACAATCATGAGAAGGTGCAGCTCTTCCAAAAAACTTGCCATAGCTCTTTGGGCAAAGAGGGAAATGAGGTCCTGATGTTTCAAATTGTTAATGTGGGTTTCCAATGTTTAGGCCAAAATAACTAGAGAATTAAATTGCTGAAAGCCATAGTTAAATAATTTTTATCATCATGTGCTCAGAAGTAGCATCCTACATAACGAATATGGTATTTTTGGAAATATGCTGCTTTACCTCCTGACTTTCTTTTTCTTTTAGGGTAATCTTTGTTACTGGTTGGAGGACCCAGACTGTAGGGATCAATACAGTGTAATCTTTGAGTCAGGAGATCGAACTTGCATCTATTGGAATGATGCGAAGGAACCAGTCGCAATTGAAGAAAGACCAGTAAGTGCCCCTCAAAGAATTGCTGCATATTCCAAATGAAATATTGTAATTAATCCTCTGAAAAAATAGTGAACTCAGGAAACGGGGGGGAATAGTGAGATGAAGATCTTGTTCAATTGTTGTGGGCCGAGAGAGGGAGACGGGGGGCAGGGGCCAGGGGGGGCAGCCAGTGCCCTCTGGACCCCAGTCCCGAGAAGCCACCTGCCATCATGTGCTGCTGCCTCTTGTGTCAGAGGCAGCAATGCAGGGTGGCAGGCCGAGCTGGTCTCTGAGGCGAGCTGATTTTAAAAACCTGTTCTGCACAGACTGGCTCCTGCCTGCTCCCTCTGTCCACAGGGGGCCAAGCTCCTCACGGACAGACGCTGCACTGGTATCCCACAGAGCAGCCTCTGTCCCGGCGAGGCTGGGTCCAGAAGCTACTCTGTGACAGCCTCCCCTGCCCCTCCTCCCCACTGCTGCCTCTGACAGCACTGGGAGAGAGGGGAGAAACAGGTGGCTCGCATGAGCCAATACGCACAGGAACCAGCTTTTAAGCCTGCTCTCGTTGTGTGCTGGCTCCCGCCTGCTCCCTCGCCCTCCGTGCTGCTGCCTTTCTATCGGAGGCAGCAGCACAGGAGTGTGAGGGAGAAGGCAGTTCCATGGGATGTGATAGAGGCAGCAAGGGGGGGAAATGTGGGTTGGATGACTGGAAAGGAAATAAAGTTTAATATGACCTCAGTTGGTCTATTGGCTCTGTTATATTGCTGTGATTCTCAATTAGCCTCCCCATCTGTAGATTAGGAATAATACCCCGACTAAGATGTTTGGATAAAAAACCTTGAAGTGCAAAGTCAGAATTTGAGAGGTCTCTGCTTCTCAGTGGTGAATGGGTGTTTATTGTTGTCAGATGGATGCTACTCCTTAGCTCCACTGTGTCTGTTGCGAGAAGCAGCACTGAAGATTTGTGGTAGGCTGCTTGCTGGAGGGAGTCCTGAGACAGTCCCATCACGAGTAGCTCAATATGTCATCTGCTCTAGAGCCCAAGGAAGATGACAGTCAACAAGAATATCTGGTGCTAAAGAGCTCTTTTCTTCTGGTTAGGGGAAGGCAATAATAGGGAGAAAATTGATGTGGGATTTCAAATTAGCAGATGCTTGTTAGCCAAGGTTCATATAAAAAATGCCCTTTTCCCTCACTCTAGTAAGGTTCAGGAAATGTCATCTTAGGAAGATTAGAACATACCCTTCCCAGTAGTCAGAGAACATTTGGCATGCTGTGCTACTGAGAAGTTCTGGACACTGCTGAAGTTGTCCCTTCACCATCCACTTCTGGCTCATTCTTCTTCTGGTTAATGAGTGTTTGGAACCTGAAGTGTTTTGTTTTTTTTTTTTTTTCATGAAATAAGAAATGTATTCCGATCATGTTTAAGCTTGTGGAAATGTGGTTGGTGGATTACTTTTGCCGTTACCTTGCTAAAATGTTCATTTAAGTGGACTTGTGGAGGGTGTTGTAGCCCAGGTTTAAGAATATGACTTGGGGTAAAGCTCATCAATCTGACCAGAAAGTTTCTAGGTTTGTGCTCCACCCCAATCAGAGGTTAAGAGTTGTAGAGCTCTGTCTGAAGGCATGTCTCCGGAACTGCAGCAATCACACTTACCCTGTGGGTGGTACCAAAATAAAGTAATTTTTATTACGATCGGTATTAAGATTACAGACAATTCAAAGCCCATGGCGATACTTGCATAAATGGATTCAGTCTCCCTGGGTGGTAACATGAGCCTGATTATACAAAGTACAGTAAACTTGTGATAATCCGGCACCTTTAGGACCCAGGGGGTGCCGGATTATCAGATATGCCGGACTATCAGAAGGGAGGGCTATGAGGGGGCTGGGGTGGGGAGGGGAGGATGCCACCCCAGACCCCTCATAGTCCCCCTTCCAATAGTCCGGCTCTGCCCCAGGTGTCCCCGATTCAGCCGCTGATGGTCAGTTTCAGCAGCAGCTGAATCAGGGATGCCTACAGCAGAGCAGCTGAGGTGCTGCCAGGTTGGTCCGATAGCACCACCACTCGGCGCTGCGAGACCAACCCAGCAGCACCCCC